GACATGGATGATGTACAATAACCAAATGTGAAGTTGTCAAGCTCACTCATATGGGTTGCATTTTTATAATCTATGCATTAGTTACCAAATGTCAGAGAAAGCATGTGCTATTTGTTTTGGTTTTTTTGTTTTTTGTTTTTTGTTTTGCAACAGGTTTATTTCACTTGGCATAATGGTTTCTAGTTGCATCCACTTTGTTGCAAAGGTCACGATTTCATGCTTTCAAATGGCTGCCTGTTATTCCTAGGTGTACATATGCCACATTTTTTATTCAGCTTTCCACCGATGGGCAGTTGTGTTGACTGCATATCATAGCCATGGCAAATGGAGGCTGCAATAAACATGAGTGCACAAATATCTCTTACACTGATTTTCATTTCATTTTTGAAAAATTCCCAGCAGAGGGATGGCTAGGTCATAGGACAGATCAATTTTTTTTTTAAGATTTATCTGTTTATTTTTAAAATAAATTTTATTAGATTTATTTTTTATTGAAAAGGCAGATTTACAGAGATGAGAGACAGAGAGAAATATCTTCTGTCCACTGGTTCACTCCGCAAGTGGCCATGAAGTCTGGAGCTGATCTGATTAGAAGCCAGGAGCTCTTCCAGGTTTTCTACGCGGATGCAGGGTCCCAAGGCTGTGGGCCGTCCTTGACTGCTTTCCCAGGCCACAGGCAGGGAGCTGGATGGGAAGCGGGGCTGCTGGGATTAGAACTGGTGCCATATGGTACCATTAAGCTACCATGCTGGGCCCTGACAGATTTGTTTTGAAATCTCAAAGATTTCCAAACTTTAATTTTTGTGAAATGCAGAATTACACATACACACACACACACACACACACACACACACACACAGAGTGAGAGAAAGAACACTATCCCATCACTGCATCCACTGGTTCACTCCCCATATGGCAGCAATGGCCATAGCTGGGGTTGGGAGCCACAGGTCCAAAAGCAGGAGCCAGGAACGTCTTCCAGGGACTCTGCAGGGGTCCAAGCAGTTAGTTAGTCAGCTGCTGTTTCCCAGGCATGTTAGTGGAAAGATGGCTGGGAAATAGAGCAGCTAGAACTCAAACTCTCCATATGCATGTGGTAACTTTATCTGCTACATCCTAGTGTCAGCCCTTCTTACTACTAATTTTAAGGGTGCTCTGGGGCTGGTGCGGTGGCCTAGTGGCTAATGTCCTCTCCTTGAACATGCCAGGATCTCATATGGGCACTGGTTGTAATCCCAGCAGCCCTGCTTCCCATCCAGCTCCTTGCCTGTGGCCTGGGAAAGCAGTCGAGGATGGCCCAAAGCCTTGGGACCCTGCACCTGCCTGGGAGACCTGGAAGAAGCTCCTGGGTCCTGGCTTCAGATTGGCTCACTACGGGCCATTGAGGTCACTTGAGGGGAGTGAATCATCAGACAGAAGATCTTCCTGTCTCTCCTCCTCTCTCTATATATCTGACTTTGTAATAAAAATCAATAAATCTTTTTTAAAAAAAAGGTGTTCTCAGTTCATAGAAAGCCAATTTATAGTAGCTGCTTCAGCGTTTTGTAATAATTCTCATATTCAGGTTGTCTTTGCCGGCTCTGCTGATTGCCTAATCTTTGAGAACTGGCCATGTTTTATGTTTTTTTTTGGTGTAGCAACACATTTTAGGCTGTTTCCTGGACATTTTGAATATTATGTTGTCAGACTTAACACACTGCTGGAATTTTGGAGAATGTGAATTTGTTGTGGTTGTTTTAGCAGGAAATCAGCCCCTCATTCTGTCCCTTTCCTCTGTGGAGGCAGTTTGATTCTCAGCTATTTGATTTTCAAACTCTTTGCTGTGATGTTTGAGTCATGTACCCTGGAGCAGGCACCACTTAAGGATGCTTTTGGGGGTTTCACATGGCAACCGGTTTTCAAAGTATTTGCTATCCTTTTTTCACCGTGTGTGTGTGTGTGTGTGTGTGTGTGTGTGTGTGTGCACATTTGCAAGTTGCAGGTGAACTTGGTGCTTGAATAGGTTCATATAGAATGTTTCAGGCTCTTCTGCTATGACCGCTGTGGAATTTTCCTCTGGTTCCTGGTTTTTTTGCTTTCTGTAAGGTGGAACTGCACCACATAGTAAAACAACAAGAGAAAAATGAATGAAATGAACAGTGCACTTCCCATTCTGCACAGCAAGTTTCTTTTCTTTCTGTTTCCTTTCTTCTTCCTCTCCTTCTCTCTTTTCTCTTTCTCTCCTTCCCTCCCTCCTACATCCTTTCTTCCTTTCTTTTCCCTTTCTTTCTTTCTTTCTTTCTTTCTTTCTTTCTTTCTTTCTTTCTTTCTTTCTTTCTTTCTTTCTTTCTTTCTTTCTCTCTCTCTCTCTTCCTGCCTTCCTTTCCTCCCTCCTTTCTTCCTTCCCTCCTTCCTTCCTTCCTTCCTTCCTTCCTTCCTTCCTTCCTTCCTTCGTTCCTTCCTTCCTTCCTTCCTTCCTTCCTCCCTCCTTCCTATTCCCTCCCTCCCTTCCTTCCTTCCTTCCTTCCTTCCTTCCTTCCTTCCTTCCTTCCTTCCTTCCTTCCTTCCTTCTTCCCTCCTTCCTATTCCCTCCTTCCCTCCATCCCTTCCTTCCTTCCTTCCTTTCTTCCTTCCTTCCTTCCTTCCTTCCTTCCATCCTTCCTTCTTGTTTGTTTTTTTGGGTTGCTTTATGCAGAAGGTTGGACTCATAGGTGCCCAGAATCTCCCTAGTATCCACCAGCCCCCTCCTGCCACCACCACTGGCAGGGATAGTGGTGCAGAAGTGACGCTGGGCTGATGTTAGATCCAGATGAGGAGAATAGGAGAAAAACTAACATGAAGCTTGCTCTTCAACTCAGCCTTCCAGTGAAACCCTTTTCTTTGATATGTAGCTGTCACCAAAGACTTAAATACAGGTTACTGCTGCGTGCATTTATCTACAGTTTTCAGTTTAATTTGCCTTCAGGTCAAACCCAGGAGGAGGAAAACAGAAAAAAAAATGTAGAAAACTTCTTATACTGAGTTGATATTTAGTTCCCATCTCAGATAACGTGCGATTTTTAAGATTTAGAGACCCTCACCAGCTGTTTGCCACACTGACCTATTTTTTTGTTGCATTCAGGGCAATATCAGGATGGAATTCTTGTGCTTTGGAGTGCCACTTGTTAATGTTTGCACACCTACCACTTGGCACACAACCTGCAATGTAATAGATAACCCTAACCTTTGCATAAGTGAAATGAGTAAAATATGAAATGTGAAATCCATCAGTTCTCTAGCAAACTCATAGTTATTTTGCAAATAAAGGGTATTTCCAAATTAATGCAAACTTTTTTCAATGATCTCTTTGAAGGTTTTTCCATGTGTATGGATTGCCAAGTTTTTCTTACACAAAATAAACTGTTTAATTCCATTTCTAAGATCATTTTGTACTGTCCTGGGATTTGGCCCAGACACAGTTTACCACTCAGATGCCATGGACTCAAAGTTGACTGGTTTTTTGCTCTGATCCCTGCTGAACCTCAGCATATTTCCCAACACTGTCCACCGCAAAGTCAGAGCCAAGTGCACAGCACTGGCATGTGAGATCAGAGCTGGCCTTCTATTCTGACTCTTAGGACTCAGTCTAGCGTATACACACACCAGCCCAGTTTTCCTACTTAGGTGAGGTGGCTCCTGTTCTTAAAGGTGCACCCCAGTCCTTTTTGCTTTCAGATTCTAGTTGACATACTCGTTGCTTCTTTGCCGGGCAGCCTTGTTGAGAACAAAAGCATCCTTTGCCTTCTTGGAATGTTTATTTCATCAAATATTATAATTTGACTAATATGTTTCACAGAGCCTTCCCCCGTTATTAGCACCAACAAGAATTTATTTTTGTGGTTTAGCCTTTGGGAAATGATGAATTTGTTTAATAGACTGGTAATTACCCAGCTCAAAAGTGATCATTAGAATTCCTTTTTATTTGATTACTATATATCACCAAACCCAGAGTCCATTTATCACCAGCTGCATCCATTAATTCAGCTTTGCTTGTCCTTGACGAAGACTCCTGGATTTTTCACTCTGAATCTAAGAATTAACCAAAGGGATATGCCTTCAATATACCAAATTTAAATTCTCAGATTTACTTGGAAAGCATCATTTTTTAAACGGTTTGGTTTGCAATTTTTATTGTATTAGAATATTTCCCACAGAAGCCATATCTAAAGAAAAGGGATGGTGCAGAAAGAGAGACTGGGAGAAAAATGAGATGGAGGAAAGGAGAGGGGAGGGGGGAAGAGATAAAGAGAGAGAACCCACCTGTTGGTCAATTGCCCAGTTGGAAAGGATCAAACCTCATAGCTGAGAACTCAGTGTGGGTATCCAGTGGGAGTAGATGAAGCACAATTACATCACAGCTACTGCTACTTCCAAGGGTTGGCGTTAGCAGGTAGCTGGAGTCGGAAACTGAAATCACGTGTGAAACCCAGAGCCTCTTACGTGGGACGTGGTCATCTAAACCAGTAAGCTAAACACTTGTCCCAGAAGTGCATTTTGTTGTTGTTGGGGTTTGGGGTTATCGTCAGCTTTCCAAGTAGCACGGTGATACAAATATAGCTTAGCAGGAGCTATGAGACAATGCTTTGTAAGTAATCGGACACATTTCCATTCCTGCTCATCTGATGGGAAGCCTAAGTGCCCATGACCCCCCGGGCACTTAGGAGAGCTCTTTCTAAGGTGTTTCCACATTCAAAAACAGAAAATTTACTCAGAATGCTGAGCTCTGCAGTAGAGCAAACGTGTGTGGTGCAGAGAGCAAGCACAAGGCATTCATTGAAGATCACCAACATTAGAATCACTGAGTCCAAGGTCACTTGATCAGATTTCCTATAGAAGATGAATCAGAGCTTGTTGGCCTGGAATTCCTGTGTGCTCTGGCTAACATTAGAGAAATGAAGAGGGAACGATCTTGCTGTGTCGTGTCTACCGTGTCTACAACCTAAACGTGTGTTCCTTTTCTTCTTGTCTCCCGGCACCTGCAGTTTACCGAGGTTTCTGGGCGGTTCTGATGCTCCTGGGGGTAGTCGCTGTGGTGACCGCAAGCTTTCTGATCGTCTGTGCAGCCCCCTTTGCCAGCCACTTTCTCTATAAAGCTGGGGGAGGCTCATACATTGCTGCAGGTGAGTACTGCGCAACGAGTGTGCTGTGCTGCCATGCCTTCCCGCCATATGATCACAATTTCCAAAACAGATTCAGTGTCAGTCTTCTAGTAGTGGGATCAGTGCAAGGTCTGCATACAGTGATTCTTGAGCGCTCAGAGTATGTCAGAGATTTTCTGGGGACGACCTAGTCTCCATGTGTCAACATGTATGTCCTGTTAACAGTCATTGCCCATTGCAGTCCCATTACATGCTGAGAAAGTCAAGTCTTAGAGGTGAACACTCTTGCAGTATCAGCTCATTCTCAGGTGTGCAAGATAATTTTTATCTTTTATATTAATTGAGTATAGATAAGAGTAAATCATATCTCATAGTAATGTCTTAGGATATAGATACATTTTTGTGTGTGCTCTTATTTCTTTTTCTTTTTTTTTAATGATTTATTTATTTATTTGAAGGGTAGTGTCACAGGGTTGGGGAAGAGAGAGAGAGATCTTTCATTCACTGCTTTACTCCACAAATGGTTGCCATGGCTGGGGCTTGGAGGAGCCAACTGCTTCATTCAGGTCTGCTGTGTGGATGCAGGGGTCTGAGCTCTGCTGCCATATTCTGCTGGTTTTCCATGCACCTTAAATAGAGCAGTATAAAAAGTGGATAAAGCTAGGACTCCAGCTGGCTCCTCTGCGGGATGCTGGCATTGCAAGTGGTGACTTCATCTATCCACTAAGCCTCAAAGGCAGATAAGATAACCCTGTCATGGTGTTTCTTGATGACTCTGCACCATGATTTCTTTATCATGGGTAGGGCAATCATCTTTTTCTGTATCATCACTTTTCAATTTTCTTAATTATTGTTCATACGCTTTACAGAAACACATGCACCTCTCTGTAAAACTTATGTTTATTCTAGTCAGCTTGCCAACTATTCTTTCCGATTACTGCTAAAATGATCAATGGTGAAAATACAATAACCAAGTAGGTGAAACTTGTTTTTTTTTTTTTTTAAGTCTTTTTAGTTAAGAAGCAACCCAGACAGCTTACTTGAAAACTTAAACACAAGGCTTTTGCTTGTAAATATAATGAAGTTGATGAACTTCTATATCAGCGTGACCGACTTGAACAGCATGTGGCCCGTGTCCCTGGAGCATCAGCTCGGAAAGGCCATGCTGCTGGGAGAGATGGTTGGGAGAATGAAAGGAAAGGAGCAGAATTGTAGCTGCCCTGTCATGACAGCCATTGTACAGCCAGCTCGCAACCTACTCACATCAAGGATTAGCTAACAAAACTCTCTGTGTAATACTGTGCAGAGGGAATAAGAGGAATAGCCAGACATACTTATTTTGTTTAAAGGACTTAAAAAAACTCCCTCTGAGAAGAGCCTATGTTAGCCTACTTCCTCGTGGTTCTTATTTCAGCTTTGTTCTTTCATTGGATCTACCTGTTCAATATTTTTAATGGTCACTTTATGGAGATGTGATTCACATTGCATGCAAGTTACCATTTTGAAATGGATAAGTTAGTGTTTCTTGTCAGTGCACTCAGATATCGTCACTGTCTGACTTCAGAGTGTATTTCATCCCATCCCAGAGAAGCATTGGCCCTCTGCTCCCACACCTGCTGTTCTGAGAAACCCCATGTTAGCCTCCATGGCTTTACCACTTCTGGATAGTTCACATAAAAGGAATCATGTAATGTGTGGCTTTTCCCAACTGGCTTCTGTATTCTATGTCTCATGACGTGAACTCTAAATGCTTTAATCTGTAGTCCTGTGACACCAATCCCTGAAATCCCTTAAAACTGACCATCACCTTTGCCAATACTTTTTCTCCTCCAAACCACACTCTTCCCTTGTCTCATCAAGGTTCTGCATTGAATGCCGATGGGATAATAGTGCCACTCTTCTATATGTATCAGTATCTTGTGTTTTGTAATGTCTTCTTCATGTTTTTAATCTCAGTTCATTGACATGGAGAAAACGCAGTGGCAGATTTTTAGTACTAACGCTTTATGGACACACAGCTGTTATAAGTTCAAAAGTGCTTTGATCCTGCATTTGATGCTATGAAAGAATTGTATATACGTGTATGTATTTTTGAGCAATTGTTGGCTATTTGTCCAGCTTATAATTTGTGAAAGAAAGGCATAAAGCCAATGGATTCTGTGAGACAGAGAACTCTGCAGAGGCGTCTGATACATGCCATGCACTCCTTTGTCAGAGATGATCCATTGATCCTCTCTTGTTGATGAATCTTTCATGCCCTTGAGATCATGCCCAGTCAGTACTTCAAACAAAAGCCTCTTCTTGGAAGCGCTTAAGTGTCTAAAGTATCTGGAAGCCCAGTTGGCAAGGCACTAAATTAGATGAGCGTGATAGTTCCTTTAAACTTGACTATTTTTAAAAAAGATTGATTTTATTTTTCATTTGAAAGAAATACAAAGATAGAGACAGAGAGACACGGGATACAGAGAATTCTCTCTCTCTGGTTTCTCCCCAAAGGTCCACAACAGCCACAGCTTGGCCTGTCTGAAGCTGGGGGACAGGAGCATTTTCTGGGTCTCCAACAAGGCTTCAAGGGACCCAAGGCCTTGGGCCATCCTCTACTGCTTTCCTAGACAATAAGAAAGGAGCTGAATTGAAAGTGAAGCATCTGGAAGTGGAGCCAGTGCCCAAACAGGATGCCAAAAATGCAGGTGGAGGATTAATATGCAAAGCTACCATGGCAACCTCTAAATTTTAATTTTACTTTTCATCATATGACATGATTCTATATTGCTTGTATATTATCATTTATTTCCTAGGAACAGAGAGAAGGGTGCTGTTGCAAGAGATATTACACTGTTCTTTATTATTTTCACTTTGAACAGGAAACGTGGTGTACTCAGGGAAAACTAGAATTTGCAATTTACTAATAGTTTCCATCGTGAAACGCAAATCTCTTCAACCAAAACAACATCCTTAAATTTGAACACTTAATAACAGAGAATACTAAGTCTGTTATTGTCTATGATTACTACTCAAAACTGAAAGTGAAAAGTTACATTATTCTATAAGAATATGAAGAAATACAGAGTATCTTTTTGTCTAAGATGTGTCATCCAGCCAAGTTTATTTGCCATGCCTTTAATTCAGAACCATTCAGTAGAAAGTCGTTGAGTGAGTGAAATGAAATCAATCTAGAGTGTTTTCCTTGGGTGGATTTTGTATTTGCACAATAAAGGGATATCATGCTATCTGCCAAGTATTCCCAAATTCCTTTCTTTTTAGGGCTTATGGCATCATTCCCTGTCCGGCTCACCCATCTCCTGCCTTGTGCCAGTACACTGTGCTCTGCTGGCTAGAAACAGGTGCTGCCTAGGCTCGGGGAGGCTGTGCCTGCTTTGTCAATGCCACAAACACGACTGGATGCTCTTTCTCTATTTGGACAGATGGCCTTAGGGAAGGGCAGTCACATTCCAAATGGTCGCTACTGGGCCAGAGTACATGGAAGGATGCTTTGGTATGAGCCAGAAGAGTGTTTCGGGGTATTTCGTGTTTGGCAGAGGGCACTGATATCACAGCTGTTGGGTCTGAGTCAGGGTGAAGCCCTTTGTATTCTCCCTGCTGGGATCACATGCTCAGAGAGGGGAATGAAGAGAAGGTGTTACTCTACCCCGCACATGGGCAGGCATGAACGCCCTTGACAAAGTTTGCAAAAGAATGAAAGCAAATGATAAACTAATTTTGGTGCTAAGAGTTTTGAAATCTGTGTATATGAGAACCGGCAAAAAATTCATGGGAAATTTGATTGTTGGAAGTCTCTACAGAGCTTTCAAAACTGTTTTGCCTTAAAATAAACTTACCTTAGCTTTCAATTTCTTCTGGGAGCCTTTCGTAGTACCTTTCCCTTCCTTAGGAAGGCTGGACCTCCAGCAGTGGGTTAGTTCTGGGCAGAGTATGTTAATTCTCATGATGTTACGACTAAGATCTCAAGTTTTAGAGAGCCATCACACACCTCTGTATGCCTTTACATTTGTTACCTCCTGACCCTATGCTATCAGATGTGACAGCAAAGACACAGAAAGAGCTGGAATGATGTAGGTGGGATATTTTTGCTTTCTAAGTATCTATGTTACTTAAAAGGCAGAATTACAGAAAGAGAGAGAATTTTCCATCCACTAACTCACTCTTTAAATAACTACAGTGGCCAGAGCTGGACCAGTCCACAACTGGCAGTCAGGCCTCCCATGTAGCCGAAGGTACCCAAGAACTTTGGTTGTCCTCTGCTGCTTTTCTGAGCCATTTATCAGAGAGCTGGATCAGAAAGGGAGCAGCCAGGACTAGAATGGGTATCCATATGTGATGCTGGCAGCCGCAGGTGGAGGATAAGTTTGATCTCTCCCTGGGATGTTCTTACTATGTAGATTATGTGAAAAAGATTTGAATATTCCTGGTCCTTGGGCAACGTGACGTCATGAGAGAAACTGCGCATGCGTAGGGATTTGACTATGTGAGGGAAAACAGTGATGTAGAAGAGACATAGAAACTGGAAGTCCTCATTTTGTTAGTACTTTCAGGCGGAAATATTTTTCTGCTTCCATTGGCGCATTTTCCTGGATGTCTGCTGAGTTTTTCTCTGACAGTGTACTCACCCAGGGCACAAGCCTGCAGAGTCCCTGCACCACTCTCTTCTCCTCTCTAGACCCTGGGCTGGAGTTGACATGGACACTTCTTGACCCATAAGGTTAGAGGAATTGTTGGAGGTGAGGGAACCCATGCATGCAATGTGAGTTAGGCCTTTAGGATCTGAAGGAGGCAGAGCAGCTGTGTTCTTCCTGCAGGTGCCCATCCGCTCTACCCTATTCTGTGTCCCCAGTGTGTGCTGCTGGCCTTCCAAGTTCATGGGTGAACTGTTTTCACCTGCCAGTGATGTGGACAGAGGAGCTGGAAAGAGTTGCATACATCCACTGCAGGGTCAAAGCACCCCATTTTTAAAAAAGCAAATCCTCTCTTGGTAGGAGTTAACTTTTTAAAAGTAAGGTTGT